TGTGTGATATTTTGTGAGAGGGTGTGAAAGTGTGTACAGGACTGAAGTGTGAATTACTAATATGGATTTGTAACTGATGTGTGTGAGTATCTGTGTTTGTGTGTGTTTTCGAGTGTGTGATCCAAATATGAGTCTGTAACTGTTTAGGTATTGAAAAGGTTAATCATACACAAGCAAAACAGATGTTTTTATGAGTTCTCAGATATTTTAATAAATGCCTTAATTTTTAAATTTTTTTAAAAATTTTAGATAAAGAGAAGACAGACAAGGGAAATACATTACTCTTATTCCCTTTGGTTGAGTAATTTTTTTTAAACAGAAAATGCAGATTTTGTTGTTGTTGTTGTTACTGTTCTGTTGCATCAGAACTGATTTGCAGCAGACCCTCTAATAGGTTTTCAGAAGTTGTAAAGCTCATTGGACAGTACTGTCCATCTTACTCCTGAGAAGAAACTGGTGGATTCAAACCAGTGTGTTAGGGATGACAGTGCATGCAGTTTATTATCACTAGGCCACCAGAGCTCCGTGTTAAATGTTGTTGTTGTTGTTGTTATGTACTATAGACTCTGGACCAAACTATAGCTGGTCTTTCAGTGGATTTTCAAAAGGGCAGTAAATCACATAGAAGATTGCCTATCCTTCTCCCATGAAACAGCTGGTGGATTTGAACCACAACCTTTTGGTTGGCAGCACAGCTTCTTACCACAAGGCCCTATGAGATATACATGGTTAAAAAAGATAACAATTTTCTATGACAATGTTTAAAGGTGGGACAAAGGTGATAAAGTTTCATCTCATACTTTTAGAACATTGCTAGGAGAATTCTTTGGAGAGGGCCATTATGCTTGAAAAGGTGGAGGAATAGCAAAAGACAGGAAGACCCCATCAAAATAGACTAACACAGCGACTACTGCAATGGGCTCAAGTGAGTCAGAGACTGTAAGGCCAGCGTAGGATAGGACAGGGTTCACAACTGTTGTCCATAGAGTTGCTATGAGTGGTACTTGACTTGATGGCACCTAACAACATGATGATGTTTGCTTTCTTTAGTGATGATGCCAATTATCGATGACACCAATCAGACCATTGCCTGGTCTGATCACTCAAGGCTTAAAGCTGAGGTGTGGAGGTTAAGGGAGGGTGAGGATCTTTCGTAAGTAATTAGAGAGAAGAGCTGGCGAGGGGGGTGGGGTGGAGAATATGGATGCTGTGGAAACTGTAACGGCTGCGAAGCAGACACTCAGCTTAAGTTTCTTCTGAGGACTTCTTGGTCAACAACTGTGGTTTGGGATGAGTTGGGTCTTCAGTTGTCCACAAACTCACTAGAAAAGGAACTCTTTTTTTTTATTATTAAATTTTATTAGTTTCAGTGAACATTCACAGGGATTCTGGGCTTTCACTCCTTCATTGCCGCACCATTCTCTCCACCCTCCTCCCCAGTTTGTTCTTCTTCCCCGCCATCCGAATGTCTGTTTTAATTGTCCAATTGCCACAGTGCTTATCAAAGTCAGTTCTGATTAATCTCCTTTGTCGGTGTGTCCTTTGCCATTCCCTATCACTCCTTCCTGAGAGAGACTTCACCCTGATTCATAAGGAAAAGGGGATGGCGTATTCTCTTAGCTACTTCCTGCTGAAAAGGGATGCTGTGGGTTTCAGGGTGAAGATCTTCTCTCACTACTCTAAAGGGCCCCTTTGGCAGTAGGAAACACATAGACTATTATGGAGATTGATTTTGAATTTAGATGCACTCTTATTGATTCCGTACATGTTCATATCCTTGAAGATGTATCATGGGGGTGTTGCAACCTAGAAGACACAAATTTGACTAACAAGTTATAAGTACATGAGTCAAAAATGATGGAAAAGTAAAAGAAAAGATTCTTTCATTGTTTTGCAAACCCTCCCCCAGGTCCCCTCCACCATGTAGCCCTCACTCTAGACTCCTGTGATGACAGAAATACCTAGTTATATATCTCTTTTAAACAGTTTTCTCACTCCTCTGTTTCAGTGCCGTATACATTATTGAACCCATCTTACTCAGTCTCTCCCCAACCCCAAGGACAGTCCCATTCTACAACAGTGGCATCATGTAATATTTGTCCTTTTGTGACTGGGATATTTCACTCAGCATAATGTTCTCCAGAGTCAACCATTTTGAATAATATTGCATGAGTTCCTTGTTTTTTAATGCAGCATAGTATTCCATTGTGCGAATATACCACAGCTTCTCTAGCCATTCGTTTGTTGATGGGCACTTAGGTTGTTTCCAACTCCTTGCTATTGTGAACAAAGCTGCAATAAACATGGGTGTGCATATATCTGCTTGGATGTCAGCTATGGTCTCTTCAGGGTATATTCCCAGTAGTGGAATTGCTGGGTCAAATGGTATCTCTATTTGCAACTTTTTGAGAAAGCGCCATACTGCTTTCCACAGGGGTTGTACCATTTTACACTCCCACCAACAGTGAATCAGGGTTCCAGTTTCTCCACAACCTCGCCAGCATTTGTTGCTTGCTGTTCTGTTAAATTTTGCTATTTTGACTGGGGTGAAATGATATCTCATAGTTGTTTTAATTTGCATCTCTCTTAGGGCTAGGGATTTTGAGCATTTCTTCATGTGTTTGTTAGCCATCTGAATGTCGTCTTCGGTGAAGTGCCTGTTCATATCCTGTGCCCATTTTTCTATTGGATTATTTACCTTTATCTTGTTGTGGTGCTCAAGTATTTCATAAATTCTGGATATAAGTCTCTTATCTGATATGTGCATAGGGATTTGAGTCTTAGAAGATCCCATTCATCTATCTTATCTTCTCCTGGTTGTAGGTTTTCCAGGATACTGGGAAGACTGTTTATGTTGTGGATTAGGACTTCTAGTGTTGTTCCTAGCTTTTCTGTAATGAAGTTTATAACCCAAGACAGACAACCAACTAAAATCGTCATGATCCAGTCAACTTGCCACTCACGGTGACCGGGGGTGTTTCACAGTAAAACTGTGCATTTTGTAGTGTTTCTCTGGCTGTAATCTTTATGGAAACAGCGCTTTCTCCCATGGTACCACTGAGTGATTTCAAGTCACCAACTTTTGCATTAACTGTTCCACACACAGTTTGTACCATGTAGAGCCCTTAAAGAAACTTGACCTAGTAGAACACTCACCCTTCCACTACCTTTGCCAAGAGGAGCTGGTGATCTAAGTGCCTTCTCAGCCAGCCACTCTCAGCCCTCCTTCTCATTTGTGAGCCAGGAGCAATGGACTACTATTTAAAAATAGGCTGGAAGGTGCTGGGTCCTCAGCCTGGCTGCGTGGGGAGGCACCTGGGAAGCCTGCAGGGATGGGTTGGAGGCTCCAGAGCAGGCTGTCGGGTCTCAGGCCCCCACCAAGGTCTGGATGTGTGGGATGGGCTTGTTGTGCTCTTTGACTGCAGAGGGTACGTGGTCATTAGGCTAAGGATGGCATGCTCTTTTGTTTTCCACCCAGTAGGAAGTGGAACCTGAATCCATTAGATTTTGGCAGGTCAGCATGGCACAGTTTGAGCTCTCGAAGGCTCCATGCCTAAAAGGCTACTCATGTGCGGTTGTGTGTCCCAGCCGCCATTGTTCAGCATGCCCATCTTTTATGCTTTTAAAGCCAGTCGGGTGGTAATCGAAAGCAGAGGGCTGGAAGACGGCAGTGCCAACAGACACGGGAATAGCCAAGTGCACCTGTAGAGTTAAAAAATGCATGACCCTTTGCCTCAAAGAGGGAACGCAAGTGAAAGACCCCATCCTGGAGGGGAGCTGCTGAGGCCGTGATACATAATTCATGGGCCCATGCTGCTCCATGCAGATGGTGATATTAAATCGTGATTGATGCTAAGCGAGGCACGCATCTCAGGAAGGTCTCCAAGTGGCTTCTGAATGTTTCTCTGTCTCCTGTGCCTCCCTGTCTTTTCTTCTGCGGCAGTATGAAGTAACCTTCCCCTCCATGTCCTAAGAACCCCCCCCCTGAGGACTGCAGAACTTTTCCCCCAATAAATGAGCTTCTTCAAATGTCATCACCCACCTTTGCTACCTTTGAAGATGGCCCCCTTCCTTCTTGGCTCACATGATGCAGTTAACCTCCTGCCAGGTACCGCTGGGAAGGGGAGAGTCATCGACTCCCCTGCAGCCACCTTGCAAATGGCTGGTGACAGCTGGCTAAAGCAGCAGCACACTCTGGTGGTGGTGACCAGGCAGGAGGGACAGTGAGCAAGAAAATATGGAAATAAACGCACGAGGCCCTCAGGCACAAAGCACCTTTGTTGCGACTCTGAGGTTGGAATGAGTGGATTCTCCAATGGAGAGTTTTCCTCTCAGTGTCTAATGAAATAATAAATCGAATTTGTGGTTTATGCAAAATTAAATGTTTGGAGATTTTGCTTTTTCTTCCTTTTTTTTTATTAAAAAAAAAAAGCTGCAAATCACCCTCTGGGGCCTGTTCTGGCCCAAAGCTGGAGTGCTTCCTCCACATCCAGAGTAATTGTTACCAGGCTCACTTGTGGATCAGCACCACAAAACCACTATTGTCGGCTCCTGGAGCCTGTGCTGCTGGCTGTCTGGGCTGGCCTGGGAGATGGAGTGAAATGAAGGATTTATGAGATAAAGACAGAGTTGAGAGGCTTGAATGAGGGAAGGAAGATGGGCCAAAGAGAGGAGACAGGAAAACGGCAGGGATGCATGTTAAATCTGCAGCCTCCTTGTTTTTCTAATCTCAGAGCATGTAATTGAGATTATTTATGACCACTTTCTGGGATCTTTTCATTTGTGTGTGTGTGTGTGTGTGTGTGTGTTTTGGAGGGGGTTGGTAGATGAGCTGAAATAATCTCTTCCACTGTATGAGTAAGTAGGTTAGCCTTCTGGACTGCCATAAAAGGTCTGTAAAATAGTTTTAATCAGCTACTGGTGGAGAGGAGGAACAGGAGAGGGGAGGAAAAAAGCTGTAACATATTTGAAGTTCTTGGCTTGTTTGCTTTCTCTTTCAGACCCACCCTGTGGAGGCCGGTTGAATTCCAAGGATGCTGGCTACATCACCTCTCCAGGCTACCCCCAGGATTACCCCTCCCACCAGAACTGCGAGTGGATTGTTTATGCCCCTGAACCCAACCAGAAGATTGTCCTCAACTTCAACCCGCACTTCGAAATTGAGAAGCATGACTGCAAGTAAGCCTATCCTAGTGCCCCCCAGTGGTAGCCACAATACCCCCAGTACCCACCTGTCTTCTCTCTACATTCCTGCTGCCTCTAGTACCTAATGTCAGCTCTCATAACCCAGGGCCTACGACCAGGGGTGCCTATTGGTCCCAAAGAAAAACATCAGCCTGACTTTATCTCTCATGATGAAACGGTGGCCCACTTGCCTATGAGTCATGTCCAGCTCATGGTGACCCATGTGTGCCAGAACAGAACTCTGCTCCACACAGTTTTTAGTGGCAGATTTGGTTTGGAAGTAGATTACCAGGCTTTTCCTCGGAACACTTCTGTGATTAGACCGGGATGGTGACTGTTTACATGACCCAGGGATGCCTTTCATCACGGAAAACTGTAAAGAATAACACTCCTCGTTATATAGTTGTGCTATATATACCAGATATCGCATGAATAACAAACACAAATTTATTCTCTCAGTGTTTAGGAACTGAGAAGTCTGAGTCCAGGGTGCCAGCTCTATGGAAAGGCTTTCTGTCTTTGTCAGCACTGGGGGAAAGTCCTTGTCTCCTTCCCACCTGTGTGTGCCCCACATTCCTGGACGAGCTCCATGGATCTTGGGATCTTTCTCTGAATCTAGGAGGTTCTAAGCACAGAAACCCCAACCCCAAGAAAAAGCTTTGCTCTCAGCTCTTCTTTTTTAGTAGTAGTCTTGTCCTTCTTTCTCTCTAACTTGCTTTTCTCACCATGAGAGATTAAAGGGAAACTACTTTTATATTGGATCAGGGCTGTGGTTTCACTAAGGATGTTGCATCCCACCCTAATCCCCTGACAAATGATTGATGACTCATATCCGATAACATCACGGAGAACCCTCATATCCTTACATAACTACTAAATTGTACCACTAGATTAACTACCAAATTCCTGAGAATCATGACCCAGTGAAGTAGATAGATGTTCAGTCCATGACATACTCAGTCTGTGAAGGCTGGCCATGGAGACAGAATTTCTATGAGGTAGGAGGAAGGTAGATTTCTAAATCTCATTTCTTGACATTGAGATTTACCTTCCATTGGAGATTTCTCCATTTTCTGCTGCTGCTCCCACATATAGGAACCCCGCCAACTTTGTTCATAAAATACCAGCTAGGTCCCAAGCAGAGACTTCCTCTTTATACAGCCTTGGAGGATCAAGCTATTACATTACAAAGAGGCAGGTGGTTTCCATATAGAAAGAGAGAGGAAAACACTAGGCCTGCACTAGTTGGTCACAGAGTCAGTGCTGACTCATAATATTTGTACAGCCACAGGTTAGAATTTCTAAGCTAGTCTTATGGATTTGTTTAACAAACATTGTTCTAATTGCTTTATAAACATTAATCCACCCATTCTCACAGTAGAGAATGGTTGGTACCATTATTGGGTGGTTGGTGCCATTACTGGCTCCATTATTCAGCTTCTTAGCTGAGATACACAGAATCTAAGTAAGTGCCAAATGTGACTCTGCTCTCACATCATTTATACCGCTGTGGAAATGTGTGATGGAGGAGATGACAGTTAGATACTTGTGAATGTTTTTAAAATGCTGCGTTAACAGTGTTCTTGTTAATTGCCATCAAGTCGGAGCCGACTCATAGCTGACCTTCCAGCAGGTTTTCAGAGTCACTGTGAATCACATGGGAGGAGATTGCCCATCCTTCTCCCACAGAGCATCTGGTGGGTTAAAACCACGTGCCTTTGGCTCAGCATAGCTTTTTACCATGAGAACACCACTGCTCCCGTGTTAGCACTTAGGCCTTTAAAAGTTGAGGTAAGGGAATAAGGAGTATTGGAATGCCAAGAATAAGGATGCCTTGTATATTGTTTGGGATTTCCTGTATGGTGCAAATTGTTAATGCACTTGGCTGCTAATTGAAAGGTTGGAGGTTTGAGTCTACCTCAAAGCACCAAAAAGAAAGTTCTGTTAACCAGTTGCTTAAAAATTGGCATTGAAAACCCTACAGAGCAGTTTTACTTTGACACACGTAAAGTCCTCACGAGTCATGGTTGACCCAAAGGCAGCTGGTTTTTGTATTCCTTCATCTGACATACTTTGGACAAGGAGGGACCGGTCCTTGGAGAGGGAAATCATGCTTGGAACAGTGCAGGAGAGGAAGACCCTCGATGATGGACTGATTCAGTGACTGGGGTAATGGAGGGTAGGTGTATCAGAGGCAGTAAGACTGGCACAGGGTAGAGTAGTGTTTAGGGCTGTTGTACATAGGGTCGCTATGAGTTCTAGGCGACTTGACTTGATGGCACATAACAACAACAGTGGGCGTAACCTTCAAGTCTTTCCTCAGTAAGTGCTTTCTGTGCAGGAAAAAAATGCACCATCATGCTTTGTTTCAGATGAGCCCCTATGAGGTGCCACTGCCCCACTGGGTGTTCATTGTTCCCATCTGACTCATAAATGCTCTGAGCATTCCTTGTAACCCAGGCAGTGGGAGCCTTAAAAATCCCAAAAGGGGCCAGCCATCTGGCGGGAAAGGTCCAGGAGCAGGGAACTCCTAGCATTCATTTCACAGCAGACCTGGGATTGGCCTATGGCTTGTTGGTGGAGGGAACAAGGCCCCTCTTTAGTTAACTAATATTTCACAGTGCGGCTTAGTGAATTGATGTCGTTATTATCCTCCCAGGACTACTTTGCACCTACATCATGGTTTTCTCCTAACAAGAGTCTTTGTTGAAAAACTGAAGGGTTTTTCCCGGATGGATGCCTCATGTGACTGAAAGTCATAAGATGTGATTTCTAATCCCAGACCCAGTGGACGATGCAGGGAAAGCTTGTCAGTTCCTCTGCCTCAGTGGAGTGTGTGCAGTAGATACAGTCACCCAGTATCCACAGGCTCCTGAATTCCTGACCATGAACTTTACTGAGTATTGCTGCTGTTCAGAGAGCTGCTTTGTAAGGGGCTCCGGGTCCTGGTTTCTCTGGCTGGCTATGGGGGGTTGGCATGCACTGAAGCCAGATATACAGAAAGCCTGGGCCTGAGCGCAGAGAAATTTGACTGAGCACCTCTCCCGACTGAGGGCCAAATTCTGTTATGCTTATGCCAGCAGATCTCCCAGCGAAATTACTAAGAGGTCATCTTATGTATATTCATAGTGGCAACAGGGGAAGGTACCGCTTTCGGGAAGGGAAAATTCGGGAACTAGTGAAGTTGGCTGAAACCACTTTGGGAAATATAAAAGGCCAGGCTGTGTAAAAGGCCTTTACGGGCTAGAAGGCAACCCTCCTCTTCATGTACTTCAGCGCTGCCAGGCCTCTGACAGAGGGACAGAGACATTGCCTCTTGCTAAAGGTGGAGTAAAGGAAGCCACGAGTTGCAGGTTGTCTTCTGACTTATTAAGTAGCTTCCTTTATTTCTTCTCATGACCCCCATTTGACACCTAAAAGGCTCAGCAAGGTCAGGAAAAAACTTTTTGGGGGATGCATTTCTCCCAATTCTCCAATTGTCAGAAAGACAGTTAGGGTTAAATACTGTCATTTCCTCCCCCGCCCTCCCCCCCCCCATCATTTCTCTCCTACTCCTCTCTCTCTTACTAATATGCTATTGTTGTATGCCTTCAAGTCAGAACTGACCCCTAGCTGACTCAGGCAAGTTTTCAGAGGCAGTTAATCACATAGGAGATTGCCCATCCTTCTCCTACAGAGCAGCTGGTGTCGAACCATGTGCCTTCAGGATTGCAGCACAGTTCTTAACACTCACTAGGCCACCAGAGTTCCCTCTTACTAATATAAGTATTTAGAAAGGCATCTTTGGTTCTTTCAGCTTCTCTCTCCTAAAATTGTTTTGTTTTGTTTTCACAGTGTTGCCTGGCTATTTGCATTCAGAATAAATTAGCTTCTCTTCCCTTGTCTTTGCTTTACTTGCTTGTAAAAGGAAGAAAGAATCTAATTGTAGTCCTTGAATTTCTGTCTCATTCTGCCCCTCTTCCTCCCAGCGTCCCTCCCTTTCTCTTCATTTTTGTTCCAAGAGAGCTCTGAATTAGGAGAGTACTTACTATCAAAGGAGATTAGCCTCCTTTCTCCTTCAGTTCGGGTGCGTGTTTCAAATGGATTTGGCTCCCTGTGCCCAAAGGGTGGATACTTCCCAAAAGAAAATGGCCTAAGCAGTGGTGCCGATGATAGAACACAGCAGGGACATGCCAGCAAAAAAGAGGAAATGAGTAAGAAAGTCAGACAAAAAAGGGCCATCCCAGCTGGGGAGAAAGAGCAGTGGTCAGCATGCCCGCTCTAGTGTTTTCCTCACTTCTTCCTGTGTGTACGATGAGCTGCAAAGGTGGCCCCCTGACCTGGGAACTGTCATGATAGGAAAGGATTAGCCAAGGTGGTGGCCGCTCAGCCCTTCTCTCTCTGTACCTTGAAATCCAACATTCCAAAGGTCGAAGCTGTTTCTGAATAAACCCCAGAAAGCCCTTACTCCTTAACTTACAAGCTTCCTTCCATTTAAGCTTGTGGTTTGTCTGGAAAATATCACTCACAGGCCCCAGATTTGCCTGAGACTGTGCCATCCTAGGCCACCACGTCTGGCAAGCTTTCTCAGACTCCTCCCTCTGACCCTTTGAGAAGGTCCCAGCACCCACAGGCTGCTCTGAGGCCTGGGCAGCAGCTGCTGGCTGCTGTGGTGCCACCAGATTTATGTGGCCGAGGGACAAAAGGGCAGGCCGTGAGGCTGTTTGGTCACCCAGGGAGAAGCCGCTTCACCCTCGTGGTGGTGACGAGGCTGCTGGTGCTCCGACCTCCAGACAGAAGCCTTTCCTTTGAGTCATCAGCCAATGGGTTGAATGTTCTGGTTTCAAAAATGCACAGAGTTGAGCATATTTTCACTCCTGAAATGAAAATTATATGTGGTTTTTTTTAAGAAAATGCTGACATACATATGATATATAGCTTATTCATGAGTCCTCGAGCAGGTTTGGCATCCTAGCCCACCCCAGAGCAAAACCAGATGAAGAGCTGGGTTCTTT